CTCAAAGTTATTAGTAATTACAAAAATACCGGGTGTACTATATAATTCGCCTAACTTTGTCCGGTTTACCTTTTCCGTCCGTCCCATTAAATTTGTCTCATACCATATTTGATAATATTTGAGTAGTTATAATTCATTCTTACTTTATTCACACTTTATCAATTCAATACCAACCACGCAATGACACAATTCCACCTTTTCTTAAATTTTGTGTCGCACCCCTTTGTCCCAAACATAGTGAGATCGAGGTAGTATTTGTGTATAATTTCTCCAAAAGGTTATTCCTCAAAGCTTCTACGCCTCCATGGCTCCATCTCATAACACCATTTGGAGTGGTGAGGTATTAAAAGTTCAAAAAGCTAAATGTAGAATTTTTGGACTCCTAATTATGTGTAGTGAGAGTTTAAAAAGGTATTAAAGTGGAAAAGTGGATGAAGGGTTATAAATGTAGAGGGTTGGTTGGGAGAAGTGGGAAAAGGAAAAAAAAAGAAACAGGAAGAGAAAGGACAGATGCAAGGCTGCTTATTTTGTGCGGATGATGTCCTACAAATGTCATCCTTGCATCATAATATTTCAATTTTTTTACTGATATAACTTTTTTATTTTTTCTCCATTTTTTTCAAAAAGTATATCAAAATTCATAAATGTTTATGATCTTTCATATGACACCAAATATGTAACATATAAAATGAAAAAAAAAAGAAATATGAAGTTTTAACTGTTGAAATTTTCTTTAGCCCCAGAAAACACAAAACACCAATTTTTAATTAATGGAGCCTTCACAAATAATTGAATACTCCATAATCAAACTTTACTTGAACTAAATTCTTTTTTTGTTAACCGAAAAACGTTAAAAAAATTAATGAAATTTATTTATTTTCATATCGAAATGTGTCTTTTTTATTTTATAATTAATGAGAGAAAAAATCAAAAGGAAAGCATTACTTATAATAATTTAATTAATGTTTTACTAAATTGATATGTAAAAAATATGCAGAATGTATTTTATTGACGACGTTGAAATGCAGAGAAATAAGAGTCAAAACATTGTTATCATATGATCGGAGTCCATATTTGACATTTAGATTCTCACACCACTCCAAATGGTCTAAGGCATGAGAAGGATGGATAAATATTACCCAGGAGAACCGATAAATATTACTGGGAGGACTGAGAATGTTTTTACTTTGATTAAATTTTGCTGGTGTGATTTGATTTGTTTAAGTTTGATCTGATCTGAACTGGTCTAGTCTGGTCTGGTACATGTTTGGTCACTGTGTATTTTAAAACTACGTAGTATGAAATTATGATCTGGTATGAGTTGATCTGAACTAGTCTGTCTTGATCTGGTCTGGTCTGGTCTGTTTAATATTGTTCTGATCTGAGACTGAAAACAATTCAAGTAAAAACATTCTGAGTGACATGATTTACAAGATTTTGTGTGTATGAGTACAAAACGTATCACTACTCTAACTGAATGAACGTAATTTACATGAAAAATACTATAGCACCCCATTTGTAGCCTTCCTACTATAGTGATTCACAAAAACATTTCATAAAAATGGGGCATAAATTTAAAAAATGGACTTTTATGAACCACAGAATATAAATGAAGTACCCCAAAATGGGGTACACCAAGACTAACTCAATATTTATATACAAAGGTGAACAGTATGTACATAATACAGTATTAAAACTCTTCTTTCCTTTCTATCTGCCGGTCTATCCACTATATACTCATATTTTATGAAATTGTTCTTCGTGCATCCCTTTTTATGTTTACCATCTTCCTCTTTCGTTTAACAGAGTCGGTTTTTAGCACGTTCAACGTGTTCTACACAGCAGAGTCTCCCAATTTCTGGGGCCCAATTTTTTCAAAAAATTATTAGTATTACATAGTAATAATATAAATAAATAGTAATCAATAAAATAAAGTTTTTTGTTAGTACTTTTATTCATGTTTTACTCAAATTGATTGAGTGATGAGTTGTGTTGCTTTAAATCAAGTGTTGAGTAATTTCTAAAATTTTTATTACATTATTTGATGAGCATTCAATAGATTTCAGTATAAGTATTTAGATTGAGTTTTTTTAATTGTTTATATTAATATGGGGGTCACGATTTTATGTTTGGAATGAGGTCTCCAAATTCATTAGACAACTTTGTCCTTCAACATTCCTCTCTTCTATTCCTCTTTACCTCCAAATATTTTACTTATTTGCACAAAATCCCTCCCCAATTCTCTGTTCATGTCTTTTTATTATCTTTTACTCCCTTCGTCCCGCAAAATAGTTCCCGATTGCCTTTTTGGGTCGTCCCAAAAAATAGTTCCCATTTCCCTTTTAGGAAAGTTTTGTGTGGCTCACATTCATTTACCTTTTTCTTATTCAAACACAACCACATACATTTCTACTTTATTCCCACTTTCTTAAATTCCGATCCAAGTCAATGCGAGAACTCTTTTACGGGACGGAGGGAGTAATTTTTTTTCAAAATACAGGTCACACACCCAACTTGCCAACTGCAGCATGCATTGATTCACACCTAGTGACAATTGCATATTTTGTTCATACAACTACAGTTGATCCGGCAGATAATTAAAGTTGATCTCAAAGACAACTAAAACTTAATCTCTCGGACAATATTCTGTGTGATAAATATTCATTTCAGAAATTCATAATTTGGTCATATAAACTATAACTTCATGTGCACAATCAATAATTATTTGTGCACATAGATTGTACACACGTAGATTAGTTCTGTATAAGTAATGAAACAAGTAGAGGCTAGAACACGCCCATACTTGAGGATTCCAGATTGGAGAATAAAAAGGGTGTTCTTGATTACTACGTAAGAGTATAGGGAGGTTGGGGAAATGCGACGTGAAGGGAAAATAAAAGAGGGGTACGTGGACCGTAGAAGAAGGAAGGCTTTGTATGCGTAACAGCATCTTCAATGCTATAATGTGCACGGTGCACATGTGGCATGAGAAAGATATACACAAAATATTGATTTTATAACATTTCTTTCTCCTTCTTTCCATGCCCTTATGTGTTTTTGGTAAGTTTTTCTCTTCAATGTCATCCACAATATCTACATCTAGACATTGTGCTTGACATTGGGAAGAAAAACTTACCAAAATGATGTAAGATCTTTCTAATAAGGAGAGAGATATTCTATTTGTTGTTTTTTAATTGATTATTTCTCATGATATATATGCACCGTTAATGTTTTAACATTGAAGATGCTCTAAAGTAAAACTCATGGTCTCTTATTTAACAAAGAGCATTTTCAATATGAGTATTTAACTCTACCTTATTTAAGAAGTGAAGAAAATGTGTGTATTTTGATGCTTTTTAAGTAAGTGTACGTTGTAGTAACAGTAATATACTTATGTACTACGTATTTGGAAACTACCTTTAAGTCCTCCAAATCAGAAGGGATTGTTTGCAAAAAAAAACGCTTTTCAATTTTTGGCTTTGAAAAATCTGAAATTGGTTTGTTTAAGTGACAGTTTCTGTCTAAGTTAAACACTTAAAAGCTAAAAACTTGAAGCAGGTTGAGATGTGTTTTAAACTGCTTTTCACTATTTTTATTACACAAAAAATACTTATTTTATCATTTTTTACTTTTTCAGAAGCATTTTTTAAACACTATCAACTTTTATTATTAGGTGCTTGCTATGGTACCCAACAAAAATAGGAGGGTACCATACCTAGAATGCATTTCATTGGTCCAAATCAAAATTTTACATTTTATTTGCATTTAAATTATTCAATTGAATTTTTTTTATTGATCCATATCATCAAGGTAACATACCTTGAAGGTACCGTAGAAATTGCTTTATTATTAATCATTTTTCTCAAAATCACTTTAGAATTTTTTTTTTAAATACTATCAATCGCAGACACTCTCGAAGTAAAGAATCCAATTTAAAAGTAAAGAACAAAACTCAAATAAGTGCGGCTTTGTAGAAAACTATCGAGTATGGAGAGAGGGTTACGTTCGTGAAAAAGGCTGAACAAAATCACACCCAAATACCCAATTGGGTCAATTATATCGATATACTAAGTATAAAAGTAAAATTGAAAAATGTACATAATTACATACAAATAGATGTGCAGATATATTGTTTAGAGTCCGTTTAATAACATTGAAATAGGTTGAATCGGCTGATTTTGCTGAAACTTATAAAGTAATGATTGAAGTGATTGGATTGACTGATTCTACTAAACTATGAAAATGGTCCTCTTTAGTAATTTCAGTCAATGAATTGAAGTAAAGAAAATGAAAATGGTCCTCAATAATAATTTCAGTCAATTTGGTCAGAAAAGTACGGATTAACTTGAACCTTACTTATTTTGTTTCTAACACAATTCAACGAGCAAAACGAAAGTATTGTATTATATGTGGTTGGTTAATAAGACTAACAAATCAAAAAACATGATAACCAAACGGGCTATTAAATTGTATTGGGGGAATTATCAAATAAGCTCTCATCGAACTTTCATAAAAAATGCAAATAAGTCCTTTTATATGAGTCTCTGTACGACCGTCGCCATTTGGGGAGGTTTCCGGTGGAATTTTTTGATGATTTTTTTTAGATCTTCTTCATTAAGTCTAGTTTACGCATACCAAATTTCAGCTAAACATTCAATCGAGAAGGCAATCAAATGAATTTTTGAAGATAACTGCGCAGTAAGGTAGCGCCGTATATTTCTGAAAATCATTTGACTACCTTCTCGATTGAATTTTTAACTGAAATTTGGTATGGATAAACTAGGCTTAATGAAGAAGATGCTCAAAAAATTTCATCAAAAATTTTCACCAGAAACCGCCCCAAATGATGACAGCCGGACAAAACCTCCTGTAAAAGGGTTTATTTACACTTTTTATCAAAGTTGGAGAGTTTATTTGATAGTATTGTATTTGTGCCACACGTATAAAAGAGTACGTACGAACAGTCTTAACCGTGTACGTATGAATCGCTCCAACATACACCAAAACAGGTACCTATTTTACAACAAACATAAATAAAGTAGGTTCAAAACACGAATTACACAACTCAGAACTCTGTCCTCTGTTTCAAGATCCTACGTACACCCAACATGCTGCTTCTTCTTCTTCTCTTCTCTTCCACATTCATTCCTAGCTTAGGGATCGCCATTGATGATAATCCCAATTCAGGTCCTGGAAGAGCTGGGGCATTGCCAAAAGGTGATGTGGATCTGCTGGAATTTCCACTCAATTTGGAGTACTTGGAAGCTGAGTTCTTCTTGTGGGGTGCTTTTGGGTATGGCCTTGACAAATTCGCCCCCAATCTTTCCTCCGGCGGGCCGTCTCCCGTCGGCGTTACATCGGCCAAATTAAGCCCCCTTGTGAAAGATATTATTGCTCAGTTTGGGTTTCAAGAAGTTGGACATTTGAGGTTAGACAGCTTTTTTATTAGCATTTGTGCTAATTGTTAAGTAGATATGTATTCTTTAATAAGTTCTGTGAATTGTTTTATGCCCCGTGAATGGATGAAAAATTTATCATGCTGGATCTCATTTGTATCTTACCTGAATAGGGAAAAGTTGTTTCCACATTTTTTATTTATTTATAACTCCGGTCTCGGGTCCATAAAAATAAAATATTACTACTGTTACATGAAAATTTTCTTTGTTAAAAATATTATCATTAAAGTACAAAATTTTAAATGTTGCATAAATATAATAGTTAAAATAATTGGTCAAACTTTACTATCTTTGACTGGAAAAGTCAATGATGGCTAACTAAAATGGGATGGAGGTAGTAATAAATAAGTGTAACTATTACACCTACGTTTTCTTTGTTTTTCCTTTGATATTTGGGGTATTTAAGAAATATCTTGCACTACAATAAAATTACCGGTTTGAAACGGATTTAGCACGCACTATTCGTGCCAAATAGCTTGTGTCAAAGTGTATTTGGCACGAACTCGAGATATATATCCCTGCCATGTCCAATATGAATTTTGGCGAATCCCATTTTTTTTGTAATGCTGTGCGTTTTACATTTTAACTGTATGGAAGTCGATCAATGTGAGAACTTATTTGTCAAATAGATCGAGTAAGGGTTTATTAGTTACTTACTGCCGTCTGCCTTACGTTCCTTCCACGCTACATGTTTATAAAGTAATTGCCCATATAGGACTAAAAGATGAGAGAAATTCTTAAATAGGACCACATGTGTTTTATTCCCCAAATGGGATCATATTACTCCTATTTTGAAACCTACGTAATTTCTCGTTCCATTTTTATCCCTCTTTAACTGATCGAGAATCTTCCCTACGCAGACCCCTCTCTCTCCTGTGCACCATCCTCGATCTCCCATTCTTTTCGATCAATCTATTTCTACTCCATTACATAACATCCCTTGCATAGCAGATCCATCCATCCATCTCCCCTTCTACGATCTATTTCTTCTCCATTGCTCAACAGATCGATCGTCTGCTCCATCTATGCACATCAGATCAATCAACTTCACCACATTGTCTGTACACCATCGTCAATTTCATCCTTAGCCGCCGCCGCCGACTCCACCGCGTACACGCCACCGTTTTGTCAGGTTTCTTCTTCTTCTTCCTCTTCTTTTTCCTCCTCCTCCCCCTCATCCTACTCCTCCTCCTACTATTCTATTTATTTTTTTTGGCTTTGAAACTGATTTTTCTGGGTTTTCTTCCATTCCTCTGTTTTTTTAGTTTTGACATTCGATTTGTGGATTTTTGGACTTCTATTTCAAATTCCTGCTTCGTGATTTCTTGATTTTAAAAGAAAACCAGTTTTCCAGATTTTTGAACTATGACATACGATTTTGCCATGTAAGTGGCATATTTTTGGATGAATGATATACGATTTTGCCAAATTTATGGCAGAAATGTACTTTGACAATCATATAATGGCAAAACACTTTTTGTGTAAATCGTTTTTATTTTTATTTTTTGTCATTAAATTCTTATTTCTGTTAAAGTTATTGTTCCATTATTCTTTTTTGTTTTTTTTTGAAAATTTAGTTGTGGACTTTATATTTTGCCAAGATTGTGGCAGTTTTTTTTTAGAGTAAGATTATGACAGTTTTGTGTAAATATATAGGTCAAGATAAATCTGCCAGATTTATGGCAGGTCTGAAAAATTGTTTCCAAGGCAGATTTGTAAGTTCTCTGCAAGGTCAAATCTTCCAACTTAATGGCAAATTTACGGCGGTGGACTATGACGGTGACGGTGGTGCTCGGAGGTGAAGTGGTGGCCCTGGATTGAACACTAGCGGCAATGACAAGGATAGGATGGCGGCGGTGGAGGGGGATGGCGACGCCATTTGGGCGGCGACAGATGGCAACGATGCGCCGACAGGGATGCGATAGCGGGCCAACGAGGATGACTGCTGGCGGCGGTGGCAGTCGACGGCGGCGGCAAGGGTAGCGGTAGTCGGCGGCGGCGGGCGGCTCCGACTCTGGCATGCTGCTGCTAGCAGTTAGTACTTTAGGGTTTCAACAGTTTTTTATTTTTCATTTTCAAAATCGAAAAATTAAAACAGGGTTATTTTTGTCCAACTAAATTGAAATTGGTCCTATGAAACTTGTGTTTCGTTTGTAGTCCTAAATGTGCAATTAACATTGCTATTAGTCCTATGTGAGGCATTAACTCACATATTGAGAAACAAAAGATGAAATGTGTGCATAAATGAGGGTATCATTGTTTTTTCTAATAAATAAGACCCATATAATCCTAATTAACAAAGTAGTTATAGTTAAAACATTCTTTCGAGGGTTATGATAGTGAACTACTTAAACGGTGTTCTACATACGGAGTATGTTTCAATCTACTTACATAATTTCCATTAAAATATGACTTTTGCATTTTAGTAAGTAGTCATATTTGTGAGTAATTATAGGGAGTATTGAACATGAAATTGTAGGTTTAGTAATTTTTGGTTGTGTGCGATTTAGTCATGTAATTTCACTCACTTGACTCTTTTAGGCATTCCATACTTCCAGCTAAAGTTTCTCATTTCCATTTAATTAAGGAAATGATTAACACTTTCAAAATATATGCTGAATTACTTTATATAATTCTTATTTATATACTATCGTATATATAATCGTGCCATTTTCAACAAAAAAATTTAAATTGGAGTCTGGACGAAAGTAATACTAGTTGTACTCAAGTTGTACTTTTGTGACAAGAGTTAGGTCTCGTGTTCGAATTCCAGCAACTGCGATAAGGAGTTACTATGTTAAAAATGCATAGAGCTTCTACAAGTACCGGAGACAGAATCTCAATCTCTATCTGTCAGATTGAGATTATAATCCAATTATATCATCATTCTTTTTTTTCATAAAGCGGTTTTGGTAGCTCATAATACATGACTTAAATGCAGAGCGATAAAAGAAACGGTGCCCGGTTTTCCGAGACCGCTATTGAACTTGAGCAAAGAAGCGTTCGCAACAATTATGGACAAAGCATTGGGACACCCTTTGAAACCACCTTTTGATCCGTACGCAAATGACATAAATTATCTGATTGCAAGTTACCTCGTTCCGTACGTTGGACTCACCGGTTACGTAGGTGCAAATCCTAAACTCCGTAGCCACACGGCCAAAAAGGTACACTGTACTATTTGATCTTCATACTACGTATCATGGTTCCTCCGTCCCGTTATGATTATCTCATTTTAATTTATAAGTCCATCTTACTTAAATTGTTTCATACCAAATTTGGTAAAGTTGGTGTGTCTCTAAATCTTTCTTACTTTTTTCTTACACTATCAATTCAATATCAACCACATAAATCACTTTTTATTAATTTGCGTATCACTCCTTCTTGTCTCATTGTTAGCGGGACGGAGGGAGTAATAGTCATTCTTCGTGTACATGCCAGAATGTACGTGTACACGCGTATCGTGTACGCTCCTATTTTACACACCACACAGATAATTCTATACATTTTTAATTTGAATAGTTGCATTTTTAATGAATTGTCACTGTACATATTTTTTCTTCTATTAGACTTTCTCCTTCGGATCCATTTTAGCTTTCCTTTTTGGGTTGTCATGTTTTCCATTTTCACAAGAAGTATGAGGATCTCATAATTTCACTTTATTCTTCTTAAATATCAATCACAATTTTTACTTTTCAACCACTTTATTAATAATTATGCTAAATTAAAACATGAAAGCAAAATCAATATAGGACATATGTAGTACTTTTTATTGAATTAGATTAGACCATCTTACTAAAATCAGATAGGAACATGTTTTAATAGATAATAAAAATTCAAACTTAAATAATAATAGGGAGTAATACGCAAAATACCAAGCCTATATACCACACCTCAAATTAGATTTAAACTAATTAGATTAGACTAATCTTTAACACGAGACTACACCAAACCCGACCATGGACGATCTTCTACAAGAGTTATTGTACGTTTATGATAAGGGAGATTTTCCAAAATAGGAGTAAATGGAATTTGAAATTTCAAAATAGGACTACTATGTTTTTATTCCCGAAATGAGACTAACATGACAGTATTTACTGTCATCTTGTAGGCGTGACTGCCAAATAGTTGCAGTACAATGCATTTAACATGACAATATTTATTATAATTAATGACATTATTTTTCAGACATGACAATAACAACTCGTATTTGGGGAAGAAAAACATAATTCTATTTTGAAATTCCAAATCTCATTTACTCCTATTTTGGGCAATATCCCTCATGATAAACAATTGGGCAATTTCCCTCATGGAAAACTATTTACTCGATCAATTGATCCATTTTAAAAAAAGGTCAACAAAATCATTTATTTATCGAATATATTATTCAATAGGATCTTCAATTTAAGAGAAGTGTTGATTTCTCTTATTATTTTAGACAAACTTCACTTTAGAATTACAGAGCGGTTGATCACGTTAAGAAAATTGCAATTTTAATCTCGTATTTCTGTTGTGCCTGTTATTATCCTTTAACTTCACTCTATTGCAAATTTGGTCCTGTAATTAATAAATCTTTACAATTTAAGGTCCTTTCTACCGGACATCACTTTTCGACCATAAATTCGCGAGAAAAGATGTCACTAGCGCTGAGTAATCTACCGGAAAGTTTACTTTTCAATGGGAAATTTCTTAAATTACAAAGATTATTAGTTATATGACCAAATCTGCAACCAAATAAAGTTAAAGGACTAATAACGAGCATTATCGAATGTTATCATGGAGACTAATAAAATTGCAATTCTACTCATTAACTAATAACTATTGATACTTTGTCTAACTTATGGGGGTGTCCCCGGTTTGGATTCCGGAGGATTTCAATGGAGTTTTGAAATCCGTCAGAATTCTGATGTCCACGATTAGGATTTCTGTGGAATCCATTAACATAAGGGTGTCCTCAAACATTTTATGAATTTCTGTTAGTACTTATTTGAATGGAATTTAATGGATTTGGATCGAACGAATTTCTATATACAAAAACATTACACAACAAATCTCGTAGAATCCCTAGGATTTTAAAATCCATTGATCTATTAAAATCCATTCAACTCCTCGGTATGGTTATGGCGGACTGAACTTCAGGGCTGCAGCCTAATTTTTTCTTAAATTTGGTCCAACTTTTTTCATTTTTCTCATTTAGCCCACCCGCTAGTATTGAATTTAATATAGTACTGTTGAGCACAAGTCAACTCAGATTTCTGGATTCGTCCCTTGCATTTGTTGATTGATCAGTTAGTGGCGGGGCTTCTGGGCGTGGAATCGGGGCAAGATGCGGTCCTAAGGACGTTACTATACCAACGCAGGAAGGAACGAGTCGCACCGTACGGAATAACGGTGGCGGAATTCACGGAACACATTTCGAGGTTGAGGAACAAGCTAGGCAAAGAAGGGCTGAAAGATGAAGGTTTGGTAGTGAAACCAACCATTGGTCCAGAAGGGAAGACTTCCGGCAACATTCTCGCCGGAGATAGCCACTCACGAGCCTACGACCGGTCGCCGGAGGAGATATTGAGAATTGTTTATGGGAGTGGGAAGGAAAACAAGCCGGGTGGTTTTTACCCCAAGGGAGCGCATGGTAGAATTGCTAAGTCTCATCTTAATGTTGTTTCACCAACTGATTAAGTTATTAGTTACAAAACTTGCTTTGTAATTGTAGTAGTTACTTAATTACATTGAAATAGAAACAGTACACCAAGGAACACATTATGGAAAAAGGAATAATATTAAGCAAACATCACTTTATTTTTGTTAGTATTATTATAATGGATGTTAATTACTTAATGAGATGTGTGTAGATTTAATTTCTTTAGATGTATGTATACTATACTGAATATCATACGGAGCAGTGCTTATATCGTGGAACTGGTGCATGGTGAGCACCTGTTAGTATATATGTCCTAGCGACAATCACCTTTTAGAGATATATGTACTTGATCACATTCAGTTTTATATATTTGATATATACGGTATTACACATTGATGATTAAGCATTTCGATTGTCAATGTCTTATTCATAATTGTGTTCCCTTGGACTTATGTTGTCAATAAGTAAGTGAGAGCTTATATGATAAAACATAAGGTCCTAAAAAGGCCCCAATCAATGATCATCAAGAATGGGATATTGATGATATGCGATAAGATTGGTATGTGGACTGCATCATACTTTTAGAAAGTATAGTTGATCTCACGACTATGAGTTCCTGTAATTCATGATGGTCACATAGATATTTTAGAGAATATTGGCATACCCACCGAGAAACCATTTGATAAGTTCTATTCATGTGTCTATGGGATTATCGGCGTATAGAGTAGTGTAATAGTCCTCCGACTTGAGGTCAATACGTACTACATGTGCGGAGTGATGTACTTTGACCATGACCAACGCTTGCACTCCAATCGGGGTAGATACGGCATGTGTTGGGTGCATCACGAAGCACATGGAGTAGTAGTTGAGCCAAGAAAGGATTCATTCCTCATAATAGATTAAGAGAGAACATTCTACTTCTCATATCTAGATGGATCATAAAGTCATTGGCCAATGCAAAGATATATTCGTTTTGGATATCGAATATGATCGTTATGGATCATCTAGAAAGATTGAGAGACTGAGACTGAGTTATTGGGATAGACACAATATCATGTTCTAGACTTAGTTGAATGTTCGTTGAATGAAAGGACCGTATCACTATGAGCTCTATATTACAGGGAGTTTGAATAAGTCCTCGCAAACGTCCTTATATATTAAGTTTGTCTGGTAAATCGTCTAGGGATTCTACTAAGACCTTAATTTGATTAGTGCTCAATATATAAGGCCCTATGGGTCACACAACAAGTGATTATACCTTCCGATTGAACTGTTAGAAGGAATTAAATATTATTAATTAGATTAAATAATATTTAATTAGTAATACTGAGAATGAATTAAATGTTAATTAGATTAAACATATTTAATTCATGAAGTTGAAGGAGAGTTCTATCCGATAGAATTAATTAAGTATGATAAATTAGATTTATTATACCTAATTAAGGTGTATTTATTATTAAATAAAGTTGGTATTTTCTTTTATAATTTGGAATTAAAAGAAAAGAAAATGAAATAAATAATAATACTTATAACAAGTAGAGAGTGGCGTGCAACCACCTCTCTAATGTTATTGTTATTATTATATTATTTTGTTTAATCTACTTATTTAATTAATAAGGAGTATTGGTCCTATTAGGACTAGAACTCATTAATTAGGAAGACTTTCAATGTGATTGAAAAACTAGTTTAGAACTAGTATAAATACATCATTCTCCTTCATAATTCATAGACCAGTTTTCAGATTCAGTATTACCAGTTTATTTCCCTGCGAAGAGATTTCCTAGCCTTTCTCTTAGGGAGATCTAACCGTTCTTTCGGAAAGGAGAAATCACGTGGATACCAAAGGTCAAGGATTATCATCGCTAGGCTGGAAGATCTGTAAGTTCTGACTCAGATCTGTTATTATTGTTTTATTCGTTGTTTTGTCATAATCAGGGAAGATCTGTTTTGGAAAATTTTAAACTTCCGCTGCTGTACTTTCGAGGTACGTTACATCAATTTTCTAACAGTGGTATCAGAGCCAAACTGATTCTAATGACATTATACGAATTTAGGATGAAGATTTCGTAGATTTGAAAATATTCTGTATATTTTCCAGAACATACTCCGTATTTTTGTTTGATCTTAATCAAAAGTAGTTTTATTGAGATTTGTAATTAGAACCAAATTGAGATGGAGTGCTACGGTTGTTAGAAAGGTGCTATGTTCTCTTCTCTGCTTTCGTTTTTCATCTCTGGTGATGATCTGAGATGAAGATCTCATTAAGCCCGGAAGGAAGCTTCATCTTTTATTTATTGATCGATCTAGAAAATCTTTTGTTTTTCTTTTCAACGACGGACAATCTACTTCGCTGTTATTTCTTGAAGAATGTTTCATTCATCAACAATGGCGGACGATTTCAACGGAGATAACAGCCTTCGGAGGAGCTGCTTCCGCCGAAATCCAGAATGAACAACTGTAGACATCATATTTGTGTGCAGCGAATTCAATTTCCCGTTGCATCCACGAACGCCTCTTCTATCGATGAAGAGAGAGAACACCTTCAAATTCGTAAGCAATTGAAAATCATCCGACGAGTCGAGGAGAGTCTTACGCAGTTGAGTGTTTGGGTCCGTAAATCCCGCTGCTATAAGTTTCCCCTGTTCGGAAGACTTGTTCTGGGTTTGATATTGAGAAGGAGACTAATGTATGCAGATTTAAAATTAGAAAACCTTTGAGGGCTTTACTGCAATTTTTGTTTTAGAAATTTTAAATTGAAGTGAAAGTATGGTCTGCACATTAGGATTTCCATCTTTTCTCATTTACGTAAGTCGGTTTGTAAGATAATGATAATTATCACTATCGGTTCTAATTGACTAATTATAAAAGTAACTAAATTAAAATTAACATTTTTATTAATTAGATTAATTATCTTTGAGATTTGGAAAGACAATTTTAATTTGACGGGTTAGTGTATTTAACATGCTTTTACTTTAATGTTTGACTATTACAAGTTTGAATTAGATTCAAATTGCATGTTTTAAGTTATTTGTCTGAGTTAGATCTCATTAACATATTATTTGATAATATATTCTAGCATCTTAATTAAATAGAATAATTTAATATCCCGTTAAATGTTCCCCATAAATTAAAATTTAAGTCTTATCTAGGATAACGACATCACCCATCATAATTAAATTAGTAGAAATATTTTTTCGTTGAAGAATATTTCACCCAAGTGTTTATTCCATTCGACAAAATATAGAACTAATTTATAGATACATATATTTGTGATCGTGTGATGGTTTTGACTTACTTAAATTAGCTCGAGTCGCCCAAGCGTCAGTGTTAATTTAAGGATGTCGATCATTTAAAAATTGATCAACCAAAAGTTGCTTGGACGCAATTGGTCTGGGGACCTACCTATTATACTATTGCAGTGATCAGCCCAAGCTGGGACTGTAATAGTATGAATGAGGATTTTGGCCACTATGATTGTAAAACATTCCATGTTCCTTTTATTGGGGTCAAAGAGCATGTAAAAATAGTGGGAGCTAAATAATTAAAAGTCCATATTATTTAGTTAACTAGATGTGATCATAGGAATTAATATATGATTTTAATTCCCGTTCTATTTGAACTTCTCTAGGATTTTAGGAATGTCGAATTTATCATTGAGAAGTATCTTGGATACATGCAAGCTCACTGGACCAAACTTTCTGGACTGGAAAAGAAATGTGCGTTTAGTTCTTAGACAAGAAAATATTGAGTATGTGTTAGACACACCGGTACCCAAGATTCCTGATGCCAACTCTCCTGAGTTTGCCACGTTTGACCTGACTGCTCGAGAGAAACACGTCACTGATGCTAAAACTGTGCAATGTGTTATGTTGGCTGCAATGTCTATGGAGTTGCAAAGGCAACACGATAGGATGAGCGCCTTCCAGATGCTTGAACACTTGAAAAGTCTGTTTGATTCAGAAAGTCAGACTCTAGAGTATGAACTTCTGACAGACATTTTCAAGTGTAGGCTTCAAGAGGGTAGCAACGTGTCTGAGCACGTCCTCAAAATGATTGGCTTAATTGAAAGAGTTGCTACCACCGGAATTAAGTTTGAGGATCGTGTCTCAGCTGCTATCATCCTATATTCGCTTCCGAGTTCATTTACTAACTTCATTGTGAATTATAATTTGAACAAAACGAAAGCGACCATGCCTGAACTCCATAACATGCTCAAGTCTTATGAAGCCTCAACCTCTAAAGGAAAGACTGTTCTTATGGTAAGCTCTAATGCTAAGTCTCGTTCTAAGAACAAGAATAAGCAAAAGAAGAAAGGTAAGGTTGGACCTACTCCTACAGCTCTGAAGCCTAAAGGTGGAGGTCATATGAAGCCAAAGGTTGCAAAGGATGTTTGCCTCTACTGCAAAGAGAAGGGGCATTGGAAGAGAGATTGTGAGCTGTATAAGGCTAATCTAGCCAAAGCACCGGGTGCTTCAAGCTCAGGTATTTTTATCATTAAATAAATATGTCTATAACTAACTCTCATTGTTAAAGTATTAGATACAACTTATGGCTTACACATTTGTAAAAATGTGCAGAAGCCTGAGAAGCAGTGTAGCAGTTGGACTGGGTAAAATTGACCTACGCGTGAAGGCTGGAGCAAAAGTTGCTGCTGAACGTGATAGGATCTTATAGTTTAGATTTGCCCAGTGGTTTTAGATTAGAATTAAATAATTGTTATTTTATTCCTTCTATTACCAAGAAGATTATTTCCATTCAAATGTTAGACATTAAAAGATTTCTGTTTCCATTTTGATAATAATAATTGTTATTTTCGTAAAATGGTGTTGTTGTGGAAATGGTTTTCTTATGAATGGTTAATTATCAATCGACATATTAGATATTAAATGAATAAAATAAAAGGATCTCGATTAAGTAATCAGAAAAATTACTACCTATCTATGACATTGCAAACTTGGTCAAATTAATGAAACAAGAATAGCAACGTTAAATAAATTAGATTATTTAACACCATTTGCTTTTGAGTCATATGGAAATTGTGAATCTTGTCTTTCAAGTAACTTGACTAATAAACCTTTTCTAGGAAAAAGGATAACAAGCCAAAGAGTACTTAAGTAAAATTTCTGATTTATTTAAAAGGTCAAAGAATTCGATCATAATGAACTCTTCTAGAACACCTTAGAAGTCTGGCGTTTCT